CGGGGCTATGGGTGTGTGCGTTATCATTATTATTATTATCATGTATATATGTATAATAAGTATGTTTATATTATGATATTTATTTTATACTATACAAATTATCGATTAGTAATAGTATATTGTTCTTCCTGTTTTAAGTGTAGCACTAACTTATTGTTTTTATTCTGTTTGTCCTAATGGTAGACTGCTAGAGAATGCCTTATGGCATTGAGTCCGCCATTATTGCACTTCAGTGTAGTGTACAATAAAGTTTTCAAATAATAATAATAAAGTTTATTTTTGAATGTGATTTGTACAAAATCACAGGAATTTAATTGATTAGAAACCATTAACTATTTACAATAGATGAAATATGTATCTAAACTTGAATTCGTAAATATTAAAAATGTATAAGCAAATTATTTCTTATAGTAACATTTTTACTGCCTTTAACACCGATAACCTTAACAATTATATTGAGAAAACACTATGTTTAGTCATTCCTTAAACGGTTACGATCCAAAGGAAAATTACACTTACAGAAATCCCATTTAAACATCACATTGTATTTTAAGGTCAGTAAGTACTAAGTATCAAAGTTACTACTCTCTGAAGTTAAGAAAAACTGGCAATATCCATATAAGTATACATGTCAAAGTTTGCAAAATCTTGGCTTGCACCTTATAAGGGAGTTAAAACAAGTAAACTTGCATAACCGGAGATTTTAGGTTACACAGGCCACGGTACTTCGTTTTTGTGATGTTTACAAACGTTTCTTCTGACTTTTGACATTCATTACAGTATGAACTTAGCGATTACATTACGATTAAATATAATGCGGAATCGTTAATTGCTGTATACTCGTAATTTATTACATAACTTGTAAAGTTGTAAAACTCGTTCTGTTAATAAATATATTAATAATATTATTAGGGTGGCTTCATTCATGGTCTATGCCGCCCCTCATTATTTTATGAATAACTAATTATAATAACGAGTTCTTAGGTTTTCGCGATTGTTACACATAGGAAATGATACTATTTTTCCGGATTTAAATCGCGTATATTTATTTTTTCAAATAAACCAACGTGGCGGGCCATTTACAGGTCCCATGGCCACGATCGCCCCCCGGTCAACTGTCAGACGTCAACGTTGGTATGTTTGAGAAAACAAATGTACGCCATTTAAATCTGGAAAAATAGTTTCATTTCCTATAATTATAATAACTTTACCACGTTACACTTGTCCCCTTTTGAATAGAATTATATACTTAGTTCGATTAGTATTTCGTGTTCTACGTTGGTATATAAATAATTTACTTATGTAAAAATAGTAAGTTTCACCCATTAATATATGGACATAGTTATGCAAACAAGAACCAACCCACACCTCGAGTGAAATTGAGTTATGTATATACATATAGGTAGAACGCCAGACGTGTCCTTTACCCGCTTACAAAAGTTCCTGGCAATATACTAAGCAAAAACGGAGAAAATAAAAGTCCTTCAGGGTACCAACCCTAAATAAGTAACTTTTTAATAACTAAAAAGAACCATGCTGCTTAACTTCATATATTGTATTTTTTAAGTATGCTAAATGGATCCATGTCACGTATTCTGAAGTATGTAGATCTTTAGCGTTTTCATTACGAAAACTAGAACATGGTTCTCGTTAACTAAATAAAAAGGTACCTACATAATGTTTTCTATTTATTGCTATATAATATAATAGTTTCCCTATATCATATTCAATGCTACACATAACTAACGTTGTTTGTCTCAAATAACTTACCTATTTATTTCTTCACACTATTTTTACAAAAATGTAATTATCTCGAAAGTGACATTTTGTGTGTTGGTTCTAGTTTGCATAACTATGTCCATATTATAAGTAAACTTTACGAAAAATATAATAAAATAATTCGATTAAAACGTTTTTTTATTAAAAAACACCGGCCTCAAGAATCCCAGGAATTCTTCAATTCAGACTGATTTAGATCAGTCTGAAGGGACGGAGTTTATTCCTGTCCAATGCTTATTATAATAAGTCATAATAAGCATTGGACAGGAATAAACTCCGAATGTTGATTAGTTTAAATAAGCACTTGCCCAATTTCCAGCCACAGAATGAGACGCTTCTGCAAAAACTAAGCCAGAAGAAGTTAAGACAATCGATACAAGAAATATTCTACAGATTCTTTAATTGTGTTGGTCTTGGCACCAAGTTATATTTAGTGGTGATCACAACAGGGCCACATAATCCCTGAATTAGACCACGCCTTTAGGACCATATAAGCCCTAAAGGCGCTTTTCCACTATGTCGTGACGACAGATAGTCGTGCAGTTTAAAGTGTCGGGGCTTGTATATTTAAATGAAGTTGTTCACACATAGAACAACACGATTAACTAAGTCGTTCACGATGTTTTTGACGTTACGACGACAAACTGTCGTGACAATGGAAAGAGCTAGAACGACAGTCGTCTGACAATAAATAAAACGTCACAATAAAAATGTAACGACTGATAATCGCAGCTTCAAACGATTCTGCCGTGCAAACGACAAGACGGTCGTGAACCGATAAATTGTCGTCACGATCTAGTGGGAACAGGCTAGACACTACAGTCATTCAACGATAAAATAAACGTACACGACACAGTCACGACAGACAGTCGTAATATGGGAACAGGCTAAATAAAACGTTACGACATAATGGGAACGCGCAAATGCTGTTCAATTCAATTGTTCAATCAATCAAGAGTTCAATTTAAATCTTGAATGCTACAATATGCTCAACTTCATTTCGCGGTGTGCCTGCATCGGGAATGTAGCCCTTGCTTGATACGAAGATGACGTGGTCAAAGTCAAATAATCACTTATTCCATAGGTAAAATTTTTACACTTGAAAACTTAATTTTTTAAGCTACTGATCGTTCTCTACGCTGACCTCCCTGAGAAGAACGAGCAAGTAACTCTAGGGATTGCTCTTTTCAAATAAACTTAAATGTTATGGAATACATTTTGAATCATATTTGTGTGGAATCTAGACTCACGATATCCTTCCATACATTTTTATCTAATACGTAGTCTACAATTTTGTAATATGACTTTTCAATTTAAATACTTTTAATGTAAGTTTTAAACTTAGGAAATGGTAATCTTAATATATAATGTTATTGTAAAAACGTACACAGTTCTCCATAAAATAATCGTTTACCTTAATTAAACGAAACACAAAACGTAACGTAAACAGACATCTGAGAGATCCACCATAACTGTCAGGCTGTATGGTTTCACGGGCGAATCTCATACGTGAAGCTGATCATGCTAACATTTGTAAAATACACGTGTAAAATATTATAAAATATTTTATTGTACCTCTGTAAGTAAGTTAAAAAACCGTGGTATTAATCGTTTGACCTACCGCTTCTCAAACAGTTATTTCTAATTCGGACTCGCACCTCTTGAGTTTCTCGGAATTGTCGGTGGCGGACTATATCGTAAACTCATGCCTGAGAGGAGACCTGAGCCCAGCAGTGAGTTGATGATGATGATGTTAACAAAAATATTGATTACAGGTTTTTTAGTAGCAGTGGAGCTCCTTGTGAAAGAGTTCGTCCAGGGTAGTACTGCCACCTTACCTATTTCTGCCATCAAGCAGTAATGTCAGCATTACTGTGTTCCGGTTTTGAAGGGTAAGGGTGCCGGTAAAATTACAGGCACATGCTACTTGTCAACTTTATGTCTAAGGGTGACGAGCGCAATGGCAGTGCCCCTTAGATCTTTGCGATTTAAAGCTCTAAGTGGCACTGCAACTGTTATGGACAGGCATATAGTTTACCATCAGACGCACGACTTGTTCGTCCCGTCACTTGATTAACAGATAAAGATAAAAAAAAGGTTAATTACACACTCAAGCGTCTTTTAAGGAAAACCGTATGTCAACTACTAATAATTAAATACAATTATCTAGATGCGTCTTTGAAACACTCATAACTTGTTTAATGTTGTAGGATGAAGCACACTTAAAAAAATAATGCTATTTTTATAATAATGAAAAATGAGTTGCAGGCAGCATTCTAGCTCTGGCAAACATCCAGATAGCCAGTATGCTGACAATATCTTTAATCTAGATCAATATCAACTATATAACAGTTTTGGATTTTTTCAATACCACTCTTTTCAAAAATATTTAGGGATAAAACAACCCACCTACAGTTTAGTATAAAAGACCAAATTTGTAAAGTTTACTAAAAACCGAAGAGCTAGTTTCATTAAAGAAAATTTTAATTTCATTTGAGGATTTCTATAGGAAATGAAACTATTCCCATGGTCACAGTTGACCAGTCACAGTCAACCTTGACCATGTAAAGGGTCCGAAGCACTGGTTTGTTTGAAAAAACAAATATGCGCCATTTGAATCCAGAAAAATAGTTTCATTTCCTATGTGTGGCAATCGCAAAAACCTAAGAACTTGATGATTTCTGATTAAAATTATAAATTCATTTACATTATATCATTGTTACTTTGAAGATTTGGTCAAGTAAGGCTTGATAACTTTATGGTTATACCTACTTACAATATTTTTAAGATAGATGTTATTGAAATGCTGATTTATTAATTATCAGATAATCACAATATGAAGTAAATTGAATTACGCACTTAATAATTTATTTTCTTAATTTAGGTAAAAATTATACACAATATCCTCAATACTCTGATTGTTAGTACCGCTTACTTGATTATACAATGGGTTGGATGCTTGGAGTCCTAAATTACAAGCTCGGATTAGTTTGGACTCCAGTCTATTGTGAGAAACATTACTCTAAGCCTATGTAATAATATAGACTCATTCGAAGAATAGAGTCAAATATACTATGTCCTGAGAACAAGTAGTCTTGCACATAGATCTTTGTTCTGCGTAATGTTCTTTCATTTTTATTTGGGGAGATAAATAAAGATATAATTTAATTTATGTAAAATTTTTTTTTTTTCAAGCCTGTAAAAAATGTATAAAGCCTTACCTTTTTATAAATCTCAAAGCTAGTGAATTGTGTAGCAGCATAGGGAAATATTCGGACCATCTGTGCACCGTTTCCTTTATACAATGCTTGCAACGATTCATTTTTGATAACAGCAGTTAAGCCACCGACCACTCCATGATGTTTGTATTGATTTGACTGAGCTTGAAGGAGGATTTTTATACGATCCAGTGGGGCCACAACTGTCTTGGAACACATGCCGGCAACACCTGCAAATAACAATATTTATTTACACTGACACCTAGTAAATGTTACAAAGAATTGGCTGTATGTTTTGTTCAATTTGTGTATTCCTCTTCCAGCTTTACAGCACATTGAATATGTCTATGTCAGAGTTCACCCATCAGTAACATGCCCTTAAAAATGTATGTCTTGTATGGTGTACCACCTGCACACAAAAATACCACATTTAGTATTGTCATAGTGGTGAAGTTTGGTTCTATCCTTACTTAACTAACATTGTTTCACTGTTTCAGTCGACAGCTGTGTCATTATTGGTTAAAATAATTAAATTGAAAATATACCACTTTTGAGTACTTAAATTCCTAGTCATTATCTAGTAAATTCTTAAATGAATATTGATGTAATGAAATTTAAAAAAAAATATTTAAATTCATAAAATTGCCAACATCTTTTAAGTAATGTATCAAAAATATGAACTTACCAGGACTATGTACTAGAGAAATTTACTCTGAAAACTTTACCAAACTAGTTCCATGATCAAATTAATAGTAAAAAACAAACTTAAACCAAAACTATTTTTGTACAAACAACTGATAGCTTATAGTATAAATTACCTCCAGCAAGCAAACTCTTCGTGATAAAGTTGAAATCGCTTGTTTTTTCCATTTTTAAAGCCATTTTCACTCAAAATCCTTGATGTTCCACTTTCAAAAACACTTTTTACCAACTTCTAAACATTAGCACTAGGCGAGTTCAGTCCATGGTACCTTGCACTTTCCAAAATACTAATTTATTCGCGTTAAGAGCATCCACCGTTTATTTCTTGGGTATTTGGAACGCGACATTACCGTACTTTCACCTAAGAACACACTTCGCTTCCTGCATCGCAGCCGGCAAACGAGCGAGCACCTTCAATCCGCGCGAGGACTTGAATGACTGCGCTGCGCCGCCTTGTTGTATGTAAGCCTATTATGATGAACGTCAACTTTCGATTCCTGCATCGTTAATGGCCTTGGCCTTCACTAATAGGGCTCGACCTTTGTAAACATTTTCACGTTTTACTGTATTTTCTTTAAATTCCGTTCATAATCTCAAAAATGATAGAGTGCTATATTTTGACACAAACTGGATTAATTTTCTTTTCTTTCTCGGTCAAGTCAAAGCAAAAAATGATTCGTTTCATTTTCATTGAATATCGATTTTAGAAATTTCGATATTGTCTACTTACTTATTAGGTGTAACAAAATTTATTTTACGAATAAGCCGTTTGTGTAATTAATTATCTTCTCGATTGTTATAGTCTGTTCTTCTTAGTTATCGCAATAAATCGACATTAATAGTCTCCATTTAATTTTATAGTTTATTTAATACGTTAAAGTCCAACACAAATAAAATCGGTTCTTTGAAGAGCATTGAATCGACTTGTAGAACCTATATGGTGCATCACTAAAAATATTACAAGTGACAAATTGTGACATATTGACTGTGTTGCCAGATTAGGTGGTTTTTCGCCATTTATGCTACTTTGAGACGTCTCGTCGTGCGACGACTAAAAAAGTGATCAGCGACTCGGCAATATTTAGGTTATGTTTGAAATAGGAAAAGGCGATTTTAGGCTACTTAATAAAATGTCTGGGGAATTACAAACTTGACTGGGGATTTTGTGAGGCATGGAGTTTTAAAACAACTCATTTGGGGGTTTGAGTATTTCTACGTGTTGGGCATTGGGGAAAATAAGAGAGTTAAATTTCCGTCAGTAAGCAGAGTTATAGAATTCTTTTCTTCTATTTTTAGAGATTTTATGGCTTGGGCGAATATCGTCTACTTAACACACATAAATTGGCGAATTAACTTCGCAAAAGTCTGGCAACACTGTTCAAGTGTCATCCCATTTCTCGGAATAGTTCTGGAAATTCAGTAGCTGTATATTTTCTCATACCAGAAAGAACCTGCAGAAGCCCCTAATAATTAAAAAAAATACTAAGTATCTATACAACTAATGCGGACGAAATAAAGGGCACCGCCATAAACAGTAAAAGTTCTCCTTTTTTGTAATTTATTATTACAATAAAGGAGAAAAAGAAGTCAAAATGTATTTGTAATTTTTTATTCATCAAAATTAAATAATGCAAAAACAAAATTACTTTTTACATTATTTTAAACTTAAAAGTTAGTATTGGTTACTACGTGTTACTACATAATAGTGACATCTGGTGACAACGTACCGTAGTATTAAAACTCATACCTGCCATTAGATGGCGCTTATTGCAAAGTAAAACTTCGTAAAATAGGAACATTTTGAGCGGAAGGACTACTTTTCCGAAATGTTTTTGTTCTGTGCAGTACAATAAGAGGTTTAATTATGATTTTCAGTCTAATTTGATTACACTAAACTTACTAACCTAACCCTACGTATTGCCTAAATTAGGGGAAAAGCGGTAGACGATTTCCTCGAATAAATTCATTGATCCCGTTTCCTTTGAAGGTCACCTTGAGAGCGCGAAAGCTCATTCAGACGAATTGGTAAAGTCGACACACAAAAGCGGCACATAAGCAGTCGCACGTAGTGCCGACACAACTTGACATTCACATTGTAAAAAAGCATAAGCAAACTCAGAGCGTATTACACCATGTTACGGGAGTGTTGCGTACCATATTAAAGGATTTTTTAAATATCGAAGTGACTTCATATTCATAGAGGACGCGCACCTTTGGTGTTTCCTTAAAATTTTATGAAATTTAATATAAAATTGTAAACAGTTTTAAGTTGTAAACTGTAGAATTCTTGTGTGAAAATGGATGTGCCTGCAAAAGGAAACTTTCTGGAAAGTAAGTTTACGAAAATAATAATAATAATTTTAAAAGTTATGACACTTTTACTACGTACCTATAACTCTAGAGTCGTTATAGGTATACATTTTATTTTGAAGGTACCACCGACATACCCAAGTCTTAGAATTAAATTAAAAAAGAAAACTGCGATTACTAAAATAGATAATACAGTACTTATAGTATTCAGTTTATTTTATACATATCTGTATAGCAAATGTTTTTAGCCGGTTCAATGACCTTGTCCCAAACACTGTAGCCGTAAAGTTGATACTATTTTTGGTTTTAGGTTCAGTTTAATTTGGATTGGTAGTATAGCGTCTATATATAGTTACCTTATAGTGTTATTTTGTTAAAATTCCTCCATACTAAATGCGTAAAGCGTGATACAACCTATACCTTTTTCGAAATTTAATTTTCTGAAGTTAATTTGTGTTAATTAAATTTTTATTGAATTGATATTCAATTATTTTTTGTGAAATTACTCCACTAGTTTGTTATAATTATTAATACAAAGATCGAACACTCAGAAAAAATTCCTTCGATCCGGTCGGATCGGTAATTTGTGTTTCTCAACGTCCGACGACGACGACTTTTATACAAATGTTTATTTAAAAGTAACACGGTACAAATATTATATTTTGAGATTGTTGTCCTCCTTGAACCTGTAGGCTCGGAATGTATAATTAGTTATCTTTGGTTTTCTTTGTATAGTTAACTTGTAGTAGCCAGTAGACCTTACATATTACGTACCAAGCGGTAGTGTGAGCATTGTTGCGTCCATTTTTAAGGGGTGCTGGTGAAATTACAGGTACATGAGGCTTGTCAACTTACGTGTCAGCAAGGTGACGAGCGCAGTGGTAGTGCCTCAGAGCTTTGCGATTTAAAGTTCTGAGTGGCACTGCTACTGCTACGGACAGGCGTGTCGCTTACCACTGGGTGCACGACTTGTTCGTTCCGCCACTTGCTAGGTCATAAAAAAAGTACTTCACCGACAGTCTATCCATCGCGTCGTACACGAAACATTGATAAACACCTGAAAGGAATAAAAGTATTGTGTGATTCCGAAAGAATTGCGAGATTCTTAGAAATTGTTTGCGGTACCTCCAATGAACACTACGCCGACTTAATTTTAGGACCTGTTTTGATTTTATTTTGTTTCTTTTCTTTTTTCACAAAATTCGTGTTTTTGTGTATTTTTTTGAATTTTGTTTTTTGTTTCTTTATTTTTTTCCACGAAGTTCGGCAAGCTTAAGTAATACTTATTAGGAAATAAATATGGCTGTTTACAAAAATAACAGAACATGACTAAAACATAAAGTTGGCGTAGTGTTCATTGTAGTTATCGTTACATCCATCAACACTAACAACTTGAACAGTCAAGAGCAAGTCAAGCTTGACACTTTGGACCGTTGCGTTGTTACCGCAAGCGGGCGGCTGCTCGGCGTAGGGATGATGGATGTTAAACCTTAATTACTTGACGTGCTCTTGACGGTCAAGGAAAGCAATCTGCAATTGCCGAAAAAAATACAGCTGTGCCGTTCGTTAGTGTTCATAACATTAGATAAAGTGTTTGATAATTTTTAATACGTTTTTAAACATTGCGGGCAAAGGGCAGAATACTACGAGAGCAATGCACTATATAGTCCCTGATAGCCGAGTCACAGACATATATCCATTTGAGTGTCGAGCGGTTGGAGTCCCGCCACAATGTGAATTTTAATTCGTTTGTGGTGAGAGTGTCGACGGAACATCTGTCGACCTTCATGAAGGAGGAGTTTAGTCTGAAGGGTGTCATACATTGGCGATTCCGCGGCAGGTAACCTGACACCTAATTGCGCCACACGAAGCCGACAAGTGCATTTCGTGTACATAGTTGTTTCGTTTTAAATTATAATGCATTTTGCCCTATGCAAATAATAATAAAATAATAATAATATGTTTGTAATTGTATATTAGTATTATTAATTATGTAGTATTTTCTTTTTTATTGTATTGCATATCAAATAAAGTGACTTCAATTTTGCTATTGATTTTTTTCGTAAGTTGAGAAGTATCCCATAATATATAACAATAATATAGTATATAAGCTGTTCGTATTGATAGAGTCACTCCTTAAAATTCTTGCGAGATCATTCGGGGTTACGCCACATATACATACAAGATATGTACCTATAATTATTTCCTGACGAATACAGAAAATATGTATAATTTTTTGTTATTTTGAACGTAGAATTTTAAAGATTTGAATGAAAGATTTTCAAAATTCGAGTGTCATGATTTTATTTTTACCGTGTTTAGACTACCTATAAATGATTCGAGTTGTTGCACCGGGTAGACTATATCGGGACGCAAATGTAATTTTTCAACGACATATTGACTGCCATTCAACGTTCCTACGTAAATAGAATTAGGTACTCAACAATCCGCAAGGAATGTCCTTGAAACGCGGCAGAGGTCACAGGCTGCCTACCAATGTGGCCTGTGAATGTGGCGATACACGTGCTTGTATTATGCAAGTTCACATACAATTGTTTTAAAATTTGTCATATTTTCCCGTTGAGCTAGGAACACAAATCGAAAGTTTCTTATATGCTAGCGGCACGATTAGATTGTATGTTCTTTGTTAATATTTTAAACCGTCCAATCCAAAGAGTTAAGTATAATGTGCTCTTGATTTGTGCATTTTTCTAATATCATAATGTTCGAAATAGTTTTTTAAATCTCTAACTGGTCCCTAATTCCATCAGGCGTACTCTGCGCTTTTCGTCATCTTTTATTGTACATACAATACAGGAGAATGGAATTCCCTGCATGCAACTATGTTTCCGAGCACGAACAACGCATACAACCCGTTATAGGCATCTACTGGATGAGTTCATACCATCGTAGACCCTATCTTTGTTCCAGGGCTAAGAGCAAGTCCATTTACTTAAAAGAAAAAATTGGATACAGTTTTGTGTACCTACATACCTAATTTTTAAAAGAAATAAAATAATATGTATGGAAAAATGCTCGCCATTGCGATGCTCCGTTTTATATTTAAGTCCAGTAAGTATATCTCGCGGTTTACATTAAAAGGAAGGAAAACATAAAGGAAGGATCATGATAGTTGACTTACGTAGTGGTGGGTATTTATGGATGATAATAACGTTTCACATGTTCTCCCTTATTTTTTACATCATAATTGAGCATAGGTTCCCAAACTTTTTGGCTCACCGCTTAGACAAAATTTCAACGCCCACCATCACAAAATAATATTGAAAACGTGTATTTTTTATATTAACTTAACACAAAAAATCACAAGAAAAAAGATATTTGTAGTGTAGTTTATATACATAGATAATTCAGGTTTTTTTTCTCAAATACGATAACACCTCCTGGACAGCATCAACGCTCCCCAATTGCTTCCCCTACCGCTTCCTAGTGCCCACGTTGGGAAATTATGTAATAGAGTATGAATTCATGTATGTAAAGGATTTTCTTATTAGGACATAACTGTTTTGTATTTCAATAAAACACAGAATAATCGAGATATCGGGTTGAAATTTATTCCAGGTGCAGTACACCATGTTACATTTTTTTTATAATATCAAGTGACGGCCACATTTAAGACTGGAATTCGATTTCGCTCATATAAATTTACGACCACCGCGAGCACGTTTGCAGCGGTCATACAGCTGGTTAATCGATCTATTGAAGAGGAAGTTCGATATTCGTGTACTCTCGGTAAATGGCCCGGTCGAATGGCCACCTCGCTTATGCGAAAATTGGAAAATAATTGAACGCTGCATACGTGCTCGCGGCGGTCATATGAACATATTCTATTCTTAAATGTAACATGTGCATTGCACCTGGATATCTCAATTTATTCTGTTTTTAATTGAAATATAAAATTGTTATGTTCCTATTGAAGAACCCCATACTTATACAAACTTGTTTCCGATCAAATTATACATTATTTCCAATCGTACTAAATGGGACAATAACTTAAAAGCGAGTGTAAAAATTGTTTCATGTCTTCGAATAGCATATGAAAATATAAGTATGAAGACCAGCAAGAATACAATAGTTGAATAATAGTAGTTTATGTAACTGTTATATAATGAAAGGCATTAAAACACGAGCACACACATCTCAAGAGTGTTTTAATGCCTAATTATGTACAGTTATATATATTGCTTTATCTACACACTTATTATAAGCTCTCTGTGATGTGTTCAGGAACCGCATGTTATGATTGGCGAAATGGCGGGAAATAAAAACTTTTCTCACGCATGTCAACAACCGTAGTTTTTATATCTAATTCATACAAACTAGAATCGGACTCTAAAACTGAACTTCGACACACGCGACCCCGACAACATGTTACATCGATATGATTTTACTCAGATACTACGCTACATCAACAACACAGACGAGGTGTTTATTAAAAAAAATCTTTGTACTTTGATAAGAAAAATCATTATTACAAACCCATCTAGAAAATGGTTTTATATTAATGGTTTTGAATGGGTTTGGTAGGAAATTATAAAAATTGTTTGCTATTGACATTTCATTTCGAATTAAACTTCATCTGGACTGATATTAGAATTGAAGTCCAATTAAATTGTTTTGTTTTTAAGAGATGTGCGAAATTTGAGTGTAATAATAACGTCGAACTCGATGATAATATGAAGCAATAATAAGATTTTCACAGATAAGAAATTTGTTTTAACAAAACAGTCTACCTTTATGCTGGTCGTACTTTGCGGTTTTTGAACACATTGTAGAGAGTTTATAATAATTGTGTAGATAAAAAAAACATTTTTCACAGCTTTTTACGCTTTCTTTATTTAACCTTTTCATAAAAATCGCATCAGTTCTTCAAATAAAAAAAGGAATCATGCAAAATACGGTCTGAGGATTTAAATACTGGTACGTGGATTTAAACACGCCTGTCCAGTGCCGCTCTGTACTCTGAAATGCAAAGATCTGATGGGTACGGCCGCTGCGTCTGT